CTCGTAGTCGGCATCATCAATGAGCCTTGCCATTCTCCGCACCAAGATACGAACTCGTCAAAGAGACAAGGGACGTACCTGACTAGGATAGTTACCGATCCATTGAATATAAGTTCGTTGAGTTGATTTAGGCTGGTATGTCATCTTGAGAGGCAAGAGAGTACCTTATGTGATTCATGAGTCGACAAGGAATGAACTTGTCTCTTTGACAAGTTCGTAGATTGGTGCGGAGAATAGCAAAACTCACTGATGATGCCGGCGAAACGTTTTAGAATGATGCTGGGAATCATGACAACTACTATGGCAGACGACTTCGGACTAGGTGCGTCTCCCTGATAACAAGACCAAGTTGCGACAACGAGGTCAACCCACTTCTATAAGTCGAAATGAGACTGCGACCATACCCGAGGCCACAACATCTTGGTCTTCACATCTTCAATTGACTATAAGGTTTATTCATTTTAGCTCAATTTTAATCGAATCTCTATACTTTCGAGGCCTTAAGTTTATAAGAAGTATATTTTATTAAATTATCATTCAATCCTTTACACTCTAAATATACGTGAAAATGAAATAGCCACTCATATATATGGGCGAAAATCGCATTTAAAGTGAACTCAAATTAAAAGTCAGACATGCCTATACAATTTTTTAAGAATAATAAATAAGTTACTATAGGTCGCTAAGGGTGAGTTTTTCCCCACTGAGATGGAAAGATTTCAGGTTGTCATTGAAATTCACTTAGTTTTGCCTCTCAGGAGGCCATCTTATCCAGATTAGGTTGTAATTTCGACCTCGTGTAGGTCTCATCAACATCCCAGGCGGGATTCGATATCGGGTCTATGCTACTATTCAACTTCACTACACAGACACGGGTGTTAGTGGGTCACGGCACATGCTACATTTAAGACAAACCAGGGCCCTCCCAACTCTCATACACATATCAGTTAGATGAATTGCCGATTAGACAAGCAGGTGTTTGCCATTTCAATCGATAACGTTACTTATTTTCCATATAAGTATGCATTGAGGCTATTATTATTTCGCTTAAGGTGACTTAAGCACTGAGAGCTGAATTTTCTTAAAATGACATTTGTAGGCTATCTAATTTAGGGTTGGTTGTCGTTTCGACCTCATATTAGTCTCAATACCCATAGTGGGATTTGGTACTGACTCGTGATTATCGTGTTGACCACCTGCGACTGTAATGGAGCGGCAACATTTCCATTATATTTATCATCCTATATTGAATACCTTCGGGAAGGTCAAACTGCAGTC